TCTGTTATTTAATTTGCAGGGATTTACGCCACTGTTATGGGCTTGTGCTAATGGACAGAAAGCTGCAGTGGAGTTACTCGTTTTCTATGGTGCAAATATCATTCTATCTGGAGATAACGGAGAGACAGGACTGCTCTTAGCTGCTAGCCGCGGTCACTTTGATGTGGTTCTTTACTTGCTCAAAGCTGGATGCCCAGTAGATCTGTCTGACGAGCTGTGCAATACTGCATTAATGTTCGCAGCCTATAACAATAACGCCGCAATTGTGTCTTTGTTACTCGATTGGGGTGCTGATATTACTTCTATAAATGCAGACGGGTGGACAGCACTAGATTTTGCTATACGACGAGGCTCACGTGCCAGCCAACGTATAATTGAGAAGCATATTTTATCCCTGTTGCAAACTCAATAGTTTTTCAGACCAAAGCAGTCGGAAAAGTTTTTCCATGTTCGGAGGTACTCACGTGGTTTCGTATTTGTCATTATTAAGGCTCGATAACTTCCGGACATTTTCACATGCACTGTGAAATCGTTTCAGAATGTATGTATAGATAAATATAAACTACTATCTTTTGTCAGTCCGCGTAGTATTGACTTGTTTGATGTTTTTCTAACTGTGCAGTGAACATGTCAGATCACTGGAATGGTTCGTACCGCGTAATCATCTGGGCGAAACCGTCATTTACGAGCGCGTGTTGAATGTGAATGTTATCGCCTGATTTACTCTTGTCTTGGAACTAGTCCATCTAGTTGGACAACTGTGGTCGTTTTTGTAGGGGAGCAAATGATCGTTCATGAGACCGATGGTTGGGAACCATATTCGTTCGATGCAGTAGGTATAACGGCTTGATGTTGAGCAAATCGAATAGTCCAACAGTACAGCTCAATCATATCTGTTCTATCAAACGTTTCTACATCTTCAATATCAATACACTGATGAGGTGTGAGTATAAGGCTTGCTCGCATCTATCAATAAACACAACTTGACTAGGAGTTTGATTCTTAACTATCATCATCTTGCGTGAAATAATTGAAAAGGCGATGAGTTACAGGAACACCGTCTTCGTAGTGGTAAAGTTTATTAGGTTTGTGAGACGGTTATGGAAGTAAAACCGACTCGAAAATTATTGGTATAATTGCGACTATCGGACTAATAGAATGGTGGCAAAACTGACCCTCTAGTCCGAACCAAAAGTATTTCAGAAAACCTGGGATATATTCGGCTGGGACGATCCTATGGGAAATTCGGTCGCTTTAATCACCTCCATATTTTATTGAATCGATCATATGCTCACTAGTGACTGGCTCCTTGAGGTAATTCCTCGAGTTCTAGTGAGAAGTCGTGGCCAGTGGAGCTAATCCATGTCAGGTAGAGACAGGTATCTACCTCAGTACATTGGAAGTTGGTTGCGCAATTTCGTGGATTGGTTGAGGTTTGACATTAACACCGTTGGATGCCAGTTCAGTGGTCTATCGGTTAAGGGCTCTGGCTGGAGACTGGTAGGTCCTGGGTTCGAATCTCGCGAGAGCGGGTTCGTGGATGCGCACTGGTGAGGAGTCCCATAATAGGACGAAACGGCCGTCCAGTGCTTCCACGGTGGTCTAGCTTCAATTGACTCATGATCTTAACTATGAATCGATTATGTTGTCATAAAATTTCCTACATCAAACCAAGCAGCCTGTTGAGACACATGTAGTGCTAAAAATTGTTTATCGATTGGGTACTAACTATGCATCACATAAGCATTTAGAGATGTTTCAAATAAGTCATTCTAATCGTTGAGTTACAACGGCGTGTAAATTAAAGACCAGCTTTGTCTGTTGGACTTTAGATAAGGAAATTTTTGCATGTTAGATAGTGTTTCGTTCACAATATCATAGGCACTACCCAATTTAATCTGTGAAACCAAAGCTTAAGTTGACTGAGAATACATGGTAGATAATCTCATCTGCCTTGTTTTTAATGTAGATATTCACTCTTGGATAAAAATAAACTAGTTAGAAGTACATATAAAATATCACACTGTTTCTTACGTTACATAATCTTTCCAAGAAACGAGACCATCCCGGTGAAATTCAATAGGAAACAACTCAGCTGGGTCACTTTCATCACCCAAATGTTTCATGAAACTATCTGTGCGCTATAATAAATAAAACCAGTTATGCAAATACAGCTGGTTGTGATATACTGAGGCACTAGGTGACAAATTTAACATGCAACAAACTAGTCAGTCAGCAGCTTGTATAGTAACATTACTTTGGTCCCAATTATGATGCTTAGTCGACCACGGAACAGGCTATAGTCGGACTCAATTTGTTGACGTGTGATTTGCTGAAAAAAGTGTAACGGTCGGACCAGCTAATGATCGCTTAAAGTAATATAAATCAATGTCAATCCATCTTCCCTTATTTCATTGTTTGTGCATTTTCCTACCAATCGCACTTCATTTCAGTTCCTTCCTTATCAGTCTTCTGCCAAAATACATTCAATATCTAACCATCACCATATTCTACTTATATGAATATAAGTAGACCACACCTCAACAGTAATGGTGCACGTTTTAATGCAGCATGTATCACAAAGCACACGTTTTAGTGTAAACCAAGGTTCTTCTCTGTTGTACTTGGTAATCACTCATGCGACTGAGGATATTACCAACTTAAATATTCTTCCACCGTTAGTGAATAACGATCACGCTGCTTCTATCATTCACATTTAGAGCTAGTGACATGATATATGATCACGTTAAGCTTCACCCAAATCAATCGAGAGCTGACAAATCAGCTATTCAGGATTGTGCTGCCAAGACGAACTGATCAGTAGATACTAGCTCATCAGTTGAAGAAGCATGATCTATATTTAAAGGCAAGTTTATTTCAGTCACATCCTCATTCACACCATACCTGGTGCCACGCAGACCGAATAATAGTTCACCATGGATAACTAAAAATATTAAGAAGTTTCTTAGACGTAGGAAAAAGCACTGGAATATGTTCATATCTGTTGTCTTAGAACAGTACAGATCCAGTTATCGTAAGATTAGGAGTCCTTGTAAGGCGTTCGTTTGTTAAGACTAGAAGGTCATATGAAAAACAATTGGTTAGGGATTGCAAATATAGTTCAAGACGGTTATTCTCATGTATAAAGAGGCGAACTCAGAGAAACGATGAAATCTCATCACTCTTGGTACAAGAAAATCCTTTAATATTGGCAAGAAATGATATTGAAAAAGCTGAAGTTTTATCGGAAGCTTTATCAGTAAAGCATTTTCTATTAGTAATGAGGAACGACCACCCATTAATTGTGATTGTGGAGGCTTGTTAATGAACCCTGTAGTTATTGAGAAAGGTACTGCATTAAGACTACTTCAGCATCTCAAACCTGATAAGTCCTGTGGTCCTGATGATATCCACCCTATGATTATGAAAGCTCTATCAGATGTTATTGCTGGATCTATAGCGATACTGCTTGGTATGTCCCTGAGGCAGTCCAGATTGTCCAGAGACTGGAAAGATGCGATAATTGGTCCGGTATATAAGGCTGAGAGCAGAGGTTTAGTTAGTAACTATCGACCAGTTGGTTTAACCAGTGCAGTTGTAAAACTGATGGAAAAATTATTAGGATAGCTGTTATAAACTGTGTGGTAGGACATGATTTTTTATCTATGGAACAACATGGTTTTCGGCAAGACCTATCATGTTTGACGACTCTTCTCATTGCAAGAGAAGATTAGGCTGAGGCAAAAGATCGAGATACTCCTGTGGATATGATTTTCATAGATCTAAGTAAAGCCTTTGATAAGGTCTTAAATTAAAACTGGAAACTTTTGGGATACATTGTACGGTCATAGACTGGATTAGTGACTTTCTCCATGAAAGGAGACAAAGGGTAAGAGCAAATGGAGCTCTCTCACCGTGGGAACCTGTAAGAAGTTGGGTTCCTCAAGACACAGTCCACGGCCTTCTTCTTTCTTTACCTTATGTAAATGAATTACCAATTGTAGCTAAGTCATCCGTCCTACTCTTCTCCGATTAAAGGATTGGAGACCCATATACAGAATGTCAGACAAAATAGTATTACAGGATGATTTCAACTCATTGTTGCATGGATTGACAGGTGATCACTGGAAGTGAATCCTAACAAGAGTGTGGTGATGCAACTAAATAACTACGATGATTCGTATTACTACACAGTATGTGGATTTGTGTTACCCGAAGTAAAAAACTATAAAGATTTAGGAGTCATACTAAGCAAATATCTCAAAACAAGCAGCCACTGTAGGGTTGTTGCTGCAAAAGGCTATAGGGTATTATGTTCTATTCGCAGATCTTTCCAGTATTTGGATGAAGAAATGTTTAGATTATTATACCCGACTTTCGTGAGACCACATTTGGAATATGGGACTTCAGCAGCGAGTCCTCGTCTCAAATATGAGGCGGATATGCTGAGACGAGTCCAACGCTGAAGGAATAAAGTGGTGAAAGGTCTATCTGACTTACCTTATGAAGATACCCTGAGACACCTCAACTTATTTTTGTTACCTTACCGTAGAATACTGGGTGATCTAATATTGGCTTATCGTATCCTGAACAATGACCTTGGTATTATTATGTCTTACCATTTTCTTCCGTCTGGGATTGATTGTTTGAGAGGACATTGGAAGAAAGTTTAAAAACCGAGATCAAATCGTTTACTTCTGGAGTTTCGTTTCTCGCACCTAGTGAATTACTGGAATTCTCTACCAGAACACGTAATACTAGCACCTTCCGTTGATATTTTCAAAACGAGATTGGACCTCTACGGTGCAACAAACTGCAAGGATTAATATATGGCAATAGACATCCTATCCTTATTACTGAAGACTGAACAAGTTACAGTTCGCTGTTTTGAAGGTCAAAACACACACACAATTCTGTTGTATGTACGGTGTTTGAAGTTCACCCACGCTTTCCGTTTGCATTCATCCCACTGATTTGTATAATAAACCTTCTCAGTTTTAATGGGCGTCGGAAAGGGGATCAAACGCCAGCGGAATGGTGTTCAGTTTAAATTAGATATAAAAGTGAAAGAGAAAATGGAACGAGACAAACTTTTTCTCTGGAAATCACCTTTACTTACACCGTATTATTTCTTCTTGGAGTGTATATTCAGATTTACCCAGCTGCGTTTTACTGTTTTACAAAACAAAACTAGGTGTGTTTTTGCTATCGGCATAATTTTACTACTGGTTTTTCTGGACTGTTTCGAAGGTCCTCATTCTCATGTAAGCTGCTAATCTAGTTCCGTTATCTGTAGAGTTTTGACCGCATAAAATCTACCTCCTTATGGTGGTCGTGGTGGGTTTGGCTCGGATTCCTATCATCATGTGGATTTGGTACTGGTCTACACACTTTTGTTTTGTATCTAGTAAGTTAATGTGTGTTAAACAATGAACTTATTGACAGGGTCCGTTTATAGCAGAAGTCACCATGAGCGCATATGAATGTAAAACACTTGATTTTCCTCGTCCACCTTACCCGGATAGAATTGTATGTCCGGATAGAATTGTATGTCCGGATAATCTAAATCCTTTTGAAAAAATTACATTTTGGAAAATTATGCGAAAGGTGCAAATGGAGTCAATCATGTGGGTATGTTGACCAAGTGTTAACTGGTCCATCGGTTTTAACCCCTTATTTTTGGTTCGATGCTTCTATCAATTTTCACGTGACATTCCTAATTGCCTTTTGTTTTTTGAAAGACCAGTAACCGAATGCTTTTTTAAAGTGTGTTGAACTCACACACTAAAATTTGTGTTTACTTATCGTATGTCGTATTGCTGATTAAATATATGATCCTGGACATCCTTTTTAGAGCTCTGAAAGTATGGAGGGAGATTACGGTACTCAAAAAACTTCAGCACCCGCCCAACAATTGGTGCCAGTCAGTCAGCTACAACGTAGAATCAGGCACATATATGCGTCGGTCCAAGTTGCCACACCTCATTAGCACAACAAGGTGAACGCCAAATTCATAGAATAAATTACTTTATTGGTAGTAATATGTGAAACAAAGGTTGTGTATAAGGATATAATACAGGAAGAAGGAATTAGTTCGTAGAAAAAAACATAAAGCAATTTTAATCTCATGGCCTAAGGGAAAGCAGAGTCTATACACCTACGCCATTGTGATCGATTATGAGCCATGTCACAAAGAGTCTCCAACTTTTGGTTACGATAGTCGTGAGGACCCTAACCAAGTAGTCTGCATCTTCCAACATAACTCAGACTAGAAGTTAGTGACATCAGACATTGATTCCACGTTTTGGTTTGGCCACCTCTAACTCTCTACCAACCGTCCCCAATACTAGTCAGCATAGCGCGTCGTGGTAATTGGTGTTCAAGCATACGTAACACGTGGGCCAACCATCTCAGTCGATGAAGATTTACAACCTCATCAACTGATTTATTATCATTCCCTAATAATCGATCGGGATTTTCACCGCCTGTATGATTTTTACTTATGGAAAAATGTTTGCATTGGGGGCTGAGGTAATATTGGGTATTTATTTACATCGTCGCTTGTCATTTTCACTTAACAGACTATAAGTTTGTGTTTGTCCATCCATTTTAAGGGCTTAGGGACTGCGCTTGGCGAATTGCCTCCTTATTTCATGGCTCGAGGTGCTAGGCTTTCCGGAGAATACAGTGATGAATTATTGGATTCACAGGAATCCATCTCGTCGAATCAAAATACTCCTGATCTTTCAGACCAAACAGTTACTTTTCAAAAGAAAGCTGAACGTTTTCTGCATCATCTAATCATGAAAGCTGGTTTTGTTGGAATTTTACTTTGTGCTTCCGTAAGTTATTGGTTTACAAAGTAATGTCTGCTTTATAAATTAGATTACTTTTTTTATTACAATTTAAACAGTTTTCGGAATTAAACTAGCTAGCCTTTTTGTCAGTATTACTTCAATACTTGACTAGCTAATTTATTTAAATACGAGTTCAGGAGAAATTAACAAACTATTTGTATAGTATATATTGTGACATATTTATTTATAGAAGGGGTTTTGTGGAGATTTAGTATTTATCATTGTTGAAAGCGTGAGTCAATTGAAGCTAGACCACCATGGAAAACCTGGAAACACTGGACGGCCGTTTCGTCCTATTATGGGACTCCTCAGCAGTGCGCATCCACGAACCTGCTCCCGCGAGCGAGATTCGAACCCAGGACCTACCAGTCTCGAGCCGAAGCCCGAACCGATGCCAGCTCAGTGGTCTATCGGTTAAGGGCTTCGGCTCGAGACTGGTAGGTCCTGGGTTCGAATCTCGCTCGCGGGAGCAGGTTCGTGGATGCGCACTGCTGAGGAGTCCCATAATAGGACGAAACGGCCGTCCAGTGTTTCCAGGTTTTCCATGGTGGTCTAGCTTCAATTGACTCACGCTTTCAACATATTTATTTATTTAAACACAAATACGGGTACAAGGAAGCACCAGATACGTATGCGCTGCACAAATCTCATTTGATGTGTGTGAGGGCTGTGATACTGCCCAGGTGCCCAGACTGAAGCGGGTGGTTTTCTTCGGGGTCCACACCCCGAGCCTTTGACCTGAAGGTCTAGTCCACAAGGCAGTGGAGCATCGTGAGGAGATGCAGTCCCATGGTAGCTGGTGACCAAATAGTTGATTCATACGCCATTTGTTCCTTCAGGATCCTGGGGCCCATGTGCACCATTGGTTGGAATCAGGGTTTTCCAACTCCCCTAGGTGAACTTTCCATGTCCACCAACCCGGTTAAAGCACCAGACATTCGCTTTTCGTCCTCTCACTTTTGTGAACAACACCCCCGCCACGAGAAGGCAGTGAGTAGGACTTCCCTGACAGAGGCTATATATTCGCGTGGCCATGTGAGAGCATTTCGAGAGGGAGAGTGGACTCTCTCCACTCTCGGCCGTACCAGGGCATTTGGGGGCATTGTGACAACCGTTTTTTCAAAAGTTAATAGTCTTCTCTAAGTAAGTATTAAGAATGTTAGGTAGTAAGTATAGTCAGAAAAACGTGTAACCATAGAGTCTCAGGTTGAAACCCTACTGTTTTGATCCATGTTACTGGGAACTATCACTACTCGTAATAAGTGTGACTTAAGACCGAGTACACGACTTACTTACTTACGCCTGTTAACCCTCGTCGAGGAGCATAGGCCGCTCACCAGCATTCTCCATCCAACTCTGTCCTGAGCCTTCCTTTCCAGTTGCTATTCATCCTTTTCATATCTGCTTCTATTTCCCGGCGTAGTGTGTTCTTTGGCCTTCCTCTTTTCCGCTTCCCTTTCGGATTCCAAGTTAGGGATTGAGTCGTGTTGCACATTGGTGATTTCCTTAATGTATGTCCGATCCACTTCCAACGTTTTTTCCTAATTTCTTCAGCTGGAAGCTGGTTTGTCCTCTCCCATAAAACGCTGTTGCTGATAGTATCTGGCCAGTGGATGTTGAGTATTTTGCGTAGACAACTGTTTATAAATACTTCTTTGTTCTGAATGATGCTTTGATTATCCTGGGTCCATAAGATTCCCATCCCACAAGTGCATTTCGTGCTTTTTTGGACAGCATTAGAGCAACTCCCTGAGTGTGTGGAGCATTTTTTCCTTCGTGACCGGAGTACAGCAGCATCTATCCCATACCTAGCCTTTGTTGTCCAGCTTGTGTCCAATGGGTTTCGCTGATTCCGAGTACTGCCAAGTTGTATCTCCTCATTTCCATTGCTATTTGACTGGTCTTTCCTGTCTCCCACATTGTCCGGACGTTCCATGTACCTATAAAGAGTGTTTCTCTGGTTGTTAGAAGGTGCATCGGTCTCGTGACTTCCGAAGGATTTCGGCTTTCATCATGAGACGTCATAATTATTCCTTCAACTCCCAGGGCAGAGTTTTAATGGTCTGAATAATTTTTTCTGGTTAGCGTTTTTTTAGCGAGTTAGCTTTCCTACGGAATGGGGTCGCTAACCCCATGCCCAACCCTCCTCCTTTACCCGGGCTTGGGACCGGCAGTAACTCTAGAAGAGCTACAGGTGGAGTTCCGAGTACACGAACTCTCTTAAAATAAGTAAACGCTTATTAGAATGTGTCAACTGGATTTAACTGTTTGTTAATCTCACTGGTTTTGATTTTCCAAATATCTAAGGGGTTCAGTTCGATAATAAATTTATGAAATGGTTCATCCGTCTCATTTTCAGCAGTCATAAATTATCTTCACCGCATATACCAATTATGCAAGGTGCATAATTCCCTATTGCATTACTGATTTACAAATTTAGTGAACAAGATGTAGCCAAAGCAGAATAACATCATCTCCAAGTATGATGTTCAATTTTTTCTCTTCAGTTACCCTTGATTCACAACTGTCTTATGACAAAGGCAAGTGGTTGGGTCTATCCTGTCTAACCTTATCATTTTGGAGAGAAATAGCTATATATATATATATATATATATGGAGAGAAGTTGTGTTTCCAGATATTTATGAGGAACAAATGAGTTGTCAACATATCTACAATCTTAGTCAAACTCTATGTGATATTGACGATCTGTAATTTTCCGCTTATATTACGCAATGTGATAACTGCCAATTTACCAACACAGATTCGAAATAAAACTAATAACGTTCACATATGTTATACGAACACTTCGAAGTTAACATAAACAATTTGTTTTCCTTAGCGATTGAATATATTGAATCTATCAATCCCTTTATAGTCTTTGAAAAGTAACTACCTTTCAACATTTACATAAAAGGTGTTTTTATAGGCATATGTTTTGTCAATTGGGTTAATTTTAACTGAACATGCACATTAGGTTACTCAGTGTTTGTTCATTGGACTCTGCTATTATGCTCTCTAAAATCCCGGATTATCCAAATAGCAAGTAGTTTAAATCTTATCTATTGTTGGTAACACAAATTATTCGCTGAAAAACTGTTTATCAGTGATATTTTATACTGAATCGAAAGTCTAATGTATTTTGGAATTCTTCTTGACATCAGATATCCATGGCTAACCTAATACCAACATTAGTTGGAATGTTTTAAAGATAATTTCATAAATGATCGTCATCACTTAATATAAGAGACCACATCACGTAACGAGAACATTTTTAATATAATCAGATTTTCATGGCAAGTTCATTATCAGTTAAAAAATTATTACTTGTTTGTGAATTTGTGTATCACCACTCATCTGCATAAAACGAAAGTTAGGGGATTTTTCTTCAAGGATTTATTCTTAATTTCGTTTCTAAAGTAGTAATTAAACTCACGGAGACTTTGACAGTATAGTTTTTCAAATCTGTTTTATTTACTTGTGATATTTATATATGACGTGCATACGGGATCAGCTAAATACGTGGTGATCTTACACTTCTTTATTATACGTGTAAGCTCTGTTCTATAGCAAATATTCTTAGTAGTTTTCTAAAAAAATATTCTAAAAATAGAGGATGTTAGAGCAAATAATTGTTTTCAATAAATTTGCCATAATAATGCAATAATTACGGATTTAAAACTGTACGGCCCAATGGTGAAGTTACTGGAAACAGTTGTTCACAGTCAGTCAGTCAGTCAGTCAGTCACAACGTAGAACTTCGTACGTACGTACATCAGTTCGAGTTGCCATACCACATTAGCACAGAGATGCAGTTGTCCATTCAAATCCCATAATGGTAGAAGTAGTAAGAGTATAATCAGAAATCCAAAAGATTAGGGTTTGAAGAAATTATTGAAGGAGCATAGTACAGTGAAATAAATTTGGAAAGAGAAAAATATAAAGACATGAGGAATTCAGAAGATTAGAATTTGGTAGAACACAAAGAGTGGATGCATCTTCGCCATTGCAAACGATTTTGAGCCATGTCATTCAAGGTCTCTAACCATCGGTTGCTGTCATCTCGCGAATCCCAACCAGGTAGTCTACACCTACCAACATGGCCCAGTCCACTTGTCAGTGACTTCATTGATTTGTGCCACGTTTTGGTCTGGCCACCCCTAGCTTTCTTCCAACCTGCTCCTACACCATGAAACATTGCACGTCAGGGCAGTCGGTGGTCGGGCATACGTAACACGTGTCCCAGCCATCTCAACTGGTGAAGTTTCACTACTTCATCAATCGATTTGCCATCCTTACCTAGTACCCGTTTCCTAACATCTGCATTACTTACCCGGTGGTCCCAGGATATACGAGCAATGCGTCGAAGACACCTGTGGTCGAATATTAGTAGCCTACGAATATCCTCTACTCTTATCGGCCATGTTTCACTGCCATAAAGTAGGACGGAACGGACTGCTGCACAGTAAACCTGTCCTTTTGTTGCTAGACGGATATCTCGCCTACGCCATAAATGACGCAAGTTGGCAAAAGCTAGACGAGCCTTCTGTATCCGTGCTGAGATTTCGTCACACACCAGACCATAAGGGCTGATGAGACTCCCAAGATAAGTGAAGTGGTCTACACGCTCAACTACTTCACTCCCTATCATTAGTTCAGGTGTCGATGCAACCCAATCCTGAAGTAACATTTTGCACTTCGAGGGAGAGAATCGCATTCCGAACATGCCTGCATAGTTGCTTATAGTAGTAAGAAGACTGCAATTTATCAGAGTCTTCACCAAATAGAATGATGTGATCGGCGTATTCTAAGTCAACAAGTGAGCCTCCTGGTAAAAATTCAACTCCTGGAGGTTTAGCTGATGAAAGTGCTATCTCTAAAAGTATGTCAATGAAAAAGTTAAACAAGAATGGGGAGAGTGGACAGTCCTGACGAACGCCACTTGTGGTAATCAGTTCTGATGACAGTTCGCCATAGGCTCTAACTCGACCAGTTGTGTTCGAGTAGAGAGCCTTTATGAGGTTAATGTACTTCTTTGGTACTCCTTTCAGTGACAAACATTGCCATAGAACCTCACGATCAACGGAGTCAAATGCCGCCTTAAGGTCAAGAAATACTACTATTGTGGGACGTCTGAATTTGTGTCTATGTTCTAGAACCTGACGTAGGGTGAATATCTGGTCTATGCAACCACGTCCAGGTCGAAAACCAGCCTGGTTTTCTCTAGTCTGCTCTTCACGAGCTTTGGTTAGGCGACCTAGTATTATTGAAGCTAATATTTTAGACACTATATTAGTCAAACTGATCCCTCTGTGATTGTCACAGGAGGACTTTTGTCCTTTCTTATAGACTGGCACAATCAGTGATTGAGACCAGTCAGATGGAATTACGTCCAGTTCCCAGATTCTACCTAAGACCTCAGTCAATCTCACTGCTAGTACTGGACCACCATCCTTAAAAATCTCAGGGGTCAAACTGTCAGGGCCTGCTGCTCTCTCTCGCTTCAGATTTCCTATAGCTTTTTCAACCTCACAGAGGGTTGGAGAACTTACGTCAATTTACCATTCAGGACGACTGGGGATCGTGGGTAATTGAAGTGTGGCTGAAGGCCAGTTGAACTGATCCCTAAAGTGTTCTGCCCATCGATCCAACCTCCTGGATTGAGAATGAATAATATGCCCATCTTTATCTGAGATGGTTTCACTGATATTCGGGTTCCTAATACCGGTTTCTTTAACGAGTCTGAATAGCTGCCTACTGTTACCTATTGCCGCTGCCTTTTCCATCTCTCTTGCTTTCGCTACCCACCACTGTTCGCGATCATTACGTAGACTTCTTATAAGCCTGCGCTTAAGTTGACTCCGCTCTTCGTTATGCTCAGAGCCAGGTGGGATGAGTTTACGAGCATCTATCAGTGCGGTAGATGCTGCCAAGATCCATTGTTTTTCCCTAACGTTATGGTTTACCTTATTAGCGGATATCACTGCTGTTTTCACAGCTTTTCGGATGTCATTCCACGCTGCTTCGGGGTGGACACAACTTACATGGCTGCCTAACTGTTTTTCTAGTTGTTCCTGAAATATATTCTTAGCTTGCCTATCATTAAGTAGAACCCTCAGAGGCTTCCCTGCAGTGTCTTTCCTACGACCAGTAAGACGCAGACAGATACGTGCTCGCACTAGAGCATGATCTGAATCTAAGCATGTGCCCCAGAATGAGCGACAGTCTTCTATCGAGCCCCTCCATCAGTGGCTGATAGCGATGTGATCTAGTTGGGTCCAACGTTGGGAAACAGTTGTTCACTCTAACATTCTTAGTTTTTGAACAGTCTGTGGAGATTTGTGAAAAAAATTTTTTTCAAGTAACACGTAACTATCTTAAGTGAATTCTATATTTTTATACAGATTCCTAACCCGCTGTTCGATTTAGCTGGAGTAACATGTGGACACTTTTTGGTGCCATTTTGGTCTTTCTTTGGAGCAACTTTTATTGGCAAAGCCCTGATCAAGGTTCATTTACAACAGCTAACTGTGATCGCTTTAAGCTCTGAGCACCATGTAGAAACATTAGTTGAGTTAATCGGGTAAGTAGCACGTTTTATTCCTTTGAATATTTTACAATCAATTGTATGTAACTAAAATAACCGGAAATTTCACAACCTGAGGCAGACAACCATTTTTTACATCTAAAATCCTGTTTTAAAACTTTATGTGTACCAAACACTTAGTTTTTTGTCTACATCAAGTAAAATTTTATGTATTTTCTCAACTTTGGACTGTTTTATGTTATTCTTCCACGAGGTTTCCGTAAAGACTCTTTGATAACTGAATACAGGTAGAGGCATCTCTGTAATATGTTGCTTATCCGTATAATTTTCCCTTTTTATTTACAAATTAAAATGATATGTCTCTGATCAACAAAACTCAACTAAATATTTTGTATGTATGTAAACCGCTTCATATTTCTAAAATCTCGATACTTTGATAGTTTGGCAGTTTAAAAATTTCCGTAGAATCTCTACAAATAAAGAATATTTGAGCGAACAGCTGTTTTCAATAACTTCATCATCAGGCTCTACAGTTATAAGTCCATAATTATATTATTATACAAAGGCTAGAATAAGGCATCCATTGTTGAATTTGACAATGTTGTATGTTAAAAATGGTGAATGTTTGTATCTGTTACGACATAAATACTTCGAAACTGTATTATTTGTAAATTAGAAAGGTCATTTTTCTCCTGAACAACATCATCAGCAGAAACTTTAGGTTAAAGTGAACTATTCAAACTCCGCCAAATAATTTGTCCATCATGTATTTGAAACAAACATTTAATCTTTTCCTGTGGATGTAACTTCTCAAAAATGTGAATATATGTAATTTTTTCCTCTTTGCTATGTGTTACAAAATACAAGAGTATCATGGGATTTATGTTGTAAGATTTATAATGGGGAAAATATTTCAAATTTCGCTACATGTGTAACAAGTCAACATGTTGGGTTTTAGTCTTTATTTCTTCAAAAAAAACACATTCTGAGTATATCTTCATTTGCTTGAATGATGAAGAATTATTTATTTATGTGTTATGACGTATAGGACTCGTAATAATATATGGACGTTTAATTGGAGAGGTGGTGGATTTATTAATCGGAGGCAAATGATGATTGAAATCGTACGAGCAGTCTTGAGTGCTAACTGGTCTTGCGATCTGCCTAGCCCAGCCAGTTGAGTCCAGAACACAAATAACAGCCTCGGCAATATGAATCGTTATTTACAAACATACTGGGTTTTTATACAAACCAAAGTAATCAATAAACTGATTATAACTCAAGAATCGTATGATAATAAATCAAAGATCAAAATAAAGCTCATGATAAGAGAAAACGAATATGAATAATTTAGTTACGTAACAACTGTACAATAAGAAATAGGCATAATACATTGGTCGATAAATAGTACTTAGAGTTACCATTCATAATTCACCAGGGGATATAACATTATGTCCGCGAAGAACAACCACTTACAGCTTAACAATACTGTATACCCATGTATCGTCTGATTGATGGATTAGATACGCACGCCTGTTACCCCTCGTGGAGCAGCTTAGATCACCCACCGGCATTCTCTATGGAACTCTGTCCTGGGCCTCTTCCGTCCTTGACCGATCTATTCAGCAGTTCCTCAAAGTATTCTGCCCATCTTTTCCCCTGTTCTTGAATCTCCGTGATCATCTTCCCTTCTTTGTTCTTGACTGGTTTCTCTGGTTCACTATATTTACCTGCTGGTTTCTTCGTTGTATCATATAGTTGTTTCATATTTCCTTCTCTTGCAGCTTTTTCCGCCGTCGTTGCTAGTTCTCCCATGTTTTTCTGCCTGTCGGTTTTAATGCTCTTCTTCACTTCCCTGTTTGCTTCAGTGTACTCTGCTTGCGCCTTGACTTTCTCTGCTCGTGTTCGACTGTTGTTAATTGCTGTCTTCTTGTTCTTCCTTTCTCCAATCTTGTTCAGGGTTCTCATAGAGATCCATTCCTTATGATGATGCTTGTTTCGGCCCAACACTTCCTGACACGTTGAAGTTAGTGCTTCTTTGATCCCTTTACAGTTGTCCTCCATTGTAATTTCTTTTTCTTTGAGTAGATCTTGTAAGGCTTGGAACCTGTTGTTGAGAGTTATCTTAAATTCGTTGAGTTTTTCAGTATGTCGAAGAAAGGCTGTATTGAACTTTTGTAATACTGTTTTCCCAATTATCCAAATTGATGGGTCGGTGGTGACAAATCTATTTTTTCATGTTTTAGCTAATATTGAGATCGTGCTTAAACATTCGATTAGTAGAATGAAGTCTTACTCCAGATATTTTGATGACACATTATCGTTAGTATCAATCAAAACACATACGTTCCAGTTGTGTATCACTTCATAGAAGCAAATAAAAACAGTTTATCACGGAACGAGATTCCGCTTTCTTGATATAATGATACTATGAAGATCAGATGGCAAACTTCAGCGTTTAATTTATTTGAAGGGTATGTGCAATGGATTACATATGAATTTTGATAGCCTTGATTTAGTCAACTACAAAATAACGATGGTTTAATGTTCTGTCGACAAGCTAGAAGAACTGATAAGTATTGAAAAATACCTGAGAGACAATGTCTATTCATAAAACTTTATTGGGAATTATTTGGGAATTAAAGTGAAGAAGTAAAAGAAATTTAGTTTGGATAAAAGTAAAAGTGTTAAAGGGATAATCTTAAAAACACGCAATAACTAAAGCCTTTATTGTGGCTAAATGAATCGTCTTCTTTAGCATAATAATACGTCAACTGGCACCCCTCTCAGTTTACATCTGATTGTATGTGTCAGTTTACTCTCATTACCCCAAGAAATTACATTAATAGAACAGAAATAACAGATTATCTTAAATTCTTCGGATATGTTCCGAAAAGCATGTGCTTTAGATAAATAAAGATTTTCAGCAGTACAGTTTCCAAACATCTGGTTGACTAAAGACATTAGGAAATCAATATAAAATCTTTCAAAACGATTAACAACAACTAGACTATTCTTCTGAAGGTTACTGAAGCTACATTTGTCAAGTTTAATATGGTTTGTTTTAATAAATATCTTCCCTTTATGCTCCAAGCACAGTATCTCAACTAAAATGACAGTTTAATATTATTTGGAAAGTCTTCAGATTAGTTATTAAGAACAGTTTATTCGTTTTGGACAAGTTATATTGTTCTGCAAGACATTTTAAATGAATAAGTTTGTTTCTGGTAAGAAACAGCTTATACAAATAAAGATTACGAAAGTGTTTATTCAGGGTAGACTAAAATCATTATGTTATTATGCTGCATTTTATTGACTACAATACCCGATGTTCAGACATTAGGTTGTTCATTTTGCAGTCCCGTTTTACCTATTTCCATTTAACTACTACGTTAGTATTTCTAAACTTCATGTAAAAAGCTAAACACGAATTCATGTTGCCTGCTGAATAGTTAATATAATGTTACAAATATTGTATTGTCGCAATAGAAGTAAACAATAGAAACCCTAAAAAGTATGTGAAGAATCTATGTAAATTTTAACAGTTTGTGAAAAATCCAATCAATCGCGTATTGATTATCGTGGAGATTTCTTGACATGTTCAATGTTCCTCTAATTTTTCATTACACTTAAGTATGAGTTTATTTATTATCTAGTTCTTGAAAAAAGAGTCAAGAAACCTCTGGACCCACTCTTTCTACTACTACAGTCAAGTGAACCTAAGAGAAGCTCTCTATTAAAAAGGTGAAGTTCTTGGAGTAGTGCAATCTACATTACCAACAAGATTTGTATTAGTATCAGGTTTTAGTTTCTATTGTATTGATTACCACATACAAATATATAACATTTTTCTTAGAACTTTATGAGATAGAAATAAAAAATATTCCAGTATTCTAAACAAAAAACATTTTTTAACAAATTATGTTCAATGATTGTTTCATCCAGGTAGGTTTACCTGTTGAAAGTCAGTAATCCCTTGAAATTCGGTATGCTGATATGTAGTATTTTGTAAGAACTTATCTTGTGACTAATTGTAAAACATTTTGCTCCTACTTTCTTGTATTATGATAGCAAATTGTGGAATGCATTTTTATCTGCGACGTTATTAGAATTATCTGTTATTTTTTATGCTCATCAATTTTAATGAGATTGTTTTGTTAGACCTAATGTCAATAAGTTTTCAGACGAGTTAAATAATCTAGGCCAACCACACAAAATAATAAGTAGACACTATTATTTTCCAAAATTATTGAATAAAGAGTGCAAATGAGAGGTATCTTATTACAGAAATAACAAAGTGATTTTCGTAATTTAATCTTAATGCAATAAAAAGGTATATAAATTGTTTGTGTGCACATTTGTTTCAGGTTAGAAATGTTGTTTCGCACGTTTTAGATGATTTGAGTCTTCGCCTCTTAGTAGAGCTTCATGAATCATTTATATAACTCACTACTTCCAAATGTACTCGATTGGTCAATATAATTAAATACGAGGGGTTTTATATTTCATTTAGTAATAAGTTATTGACTGATGCATATTTATCTTCTAGCTCTAACCATGTTTCGAACAGTGCAGTCTGAAACGGGTTCCTATGTATTAAATTAAACAAACTAACGTGCAAACCGTTTTGAGTTGTTGGTAGATTTTTCTGGATTCATAAAACTGTTGTTTGTCTGTTCTCTCGTATATACCAAATTAAAAATTGTCAAACTGTTGTTCTATACCAACATGTTTTTCAAAAAATAAACTTGTTTAACATGTTTAGTTTTTCCCCCATCATTTTTAAACAATTTCAGTCGTATTCCAGTGTATGGTAAACAGTTACAATCTCCATTTCTTGAATATTTGCACCAACAAAAAGCTAGTCTACACAATAAAGAATTTAATGGAGTAAGTAATATGAACTACCCTTTATTCCAGTTAGTAGTGGTTTACTACTAGAATTCATTTTATTATTAATATAGATTTCTTTATAAAATTAATATATTTGTATTATCCCAATAAGTAGAAAAATTAAATTTTTAAACTTTCTGACGTTTCATAACTTCTTGTAAACCATTTCTTCAGAGAAATTATCAAGTCAAACCGTGATAATGACACCTACAAGAGATCTATTTGTTAAATTACGAAGTATTTTAAACTTGAAATATTTAGGCACAATAAATCCTTAACTCTCACTCGGTATATTTAACGCACTTGTTGGTTAATATGTATCATACACCACCTTATGTTCTGCTATGTTTGAAGAGATTACGAGTTCACCTGATCTACAAACAGAATGATACAATAACCAAATCGGCTAACTATTCCGATGCTTTCCAGCGCCGCTAACTAGAAAGAGAAATCTAAGTTCAGAGGAGGGAAGTATATTCCACAAGCAGCCAAAGGCACGAACAACAACTCAAGCGTATATATACAGCATAAAAATGTCCTTGGAAAATGTTACAAAATAACATACTAAAAGAGACAACGAACCAATAACGTCTAAGATCCTCCCAAGTGGGAAGTACGATCTAAATATGAAAATGAGTGCTTTTGGCGCGAAAACAAGAAATTTAAATTTCTAAAATAGAATTACAAAAAATAAGGCATTTACTAAATGAATTCTGGGGATCTAGCATCTACAGCATGTTCATGGATTAGATTGTTTATGTGTACTTGATTATTAAAGGAAAAATTAACATATCTTTAGTTCGTTGTTGATATGACGGGATTAAAAAGCAAAATTACATTTTTTTTCTCGTCGTGATTTTGTTTAACATTCCGTTCTCAATTCGATGGGATAGTTACCCAGTGTGGTATTTGTTTTGATTGCCAGTGTGATATTTTATTTGGTATAATATTAATCTGAGTGTGTTGTTTGTTCAAGATACTATATTCTTGTATTCAATTAATATGAACTAGGCTCTGCATGACATGTAGCATGTGATTTTCTATAACTCTTGATATTTTTCATACATGGTTAATAAATCTTCACTTGTACCAGTATTGGTGTTCTTACTTCGCGTCGTGACAATTGCAGTGGTTTCTTGTTTTACAAGTATAAGTAATTGGTGATTCTGACATAAATAGCGAAGACCAGACATAACAGTTGGCGATGCAGTTATAACAGTTTTAGGTGTAGATTAACAAGGCTTATATTGAGTGGGTTTCATGAGATTCATTTTTAAACATCAGATGCTCAACAAATCAGTTAATTATTGCGTAACAATAAATGTCATCGATCCCACTCTAAGTTCAAGTTTTTCCACCTATCTTCTTGAGACTAACATGTTCGAGCGGGTGGTGTTGCGTGTTGATTATTAAAGTCGAATCCAATTACGTAGCCTCCCTACTCATATTAATATCTTGGAGCAGAACAATTCCTATCAGATATTGCATTTATGTTGACTCACCGTAGAGTAATAATTGGATGCAACTCACGTACATCTGTGTTCGTGTATTCATGGACATAAGTGATATTTTTATCATGCACTCTTCCATCGTTAGTCTATGGAAGCAAACTTTGTCATAAATCATTGTGAAAAACTCAAATATTTTATACTTTGCGTGCTTCAATAAATATGTTTCTATAGATGATTTTTTTCAAACACTTTTTGTAAAGTAATTTAAAATATTTCATTGTTCCCTCACTTTCTTTTCAAATGAATTTTAGCAACAAAGTTGGCTTCAGTTTGTGTTATTTGTCCTTATTACTGGACTTATACTTTCATTTTTCGTATCTATTATTCATGCGCTTGCAAGAAGTTATCATCGTAGATTATGTGAGTGGCGGCGACTTGCAGAAGGAGAAATACATAGTAAAGGTGAATAATTGTCAATATTAAAACTGTGTTGGTTTCGACTTATTTCACTATTTCATTCCATATTATTTATCAGTAAATAGTTTCTCAGAGGTTATGTTATGCGCTACCTCTTGAAATGTGATCTTTTTATTCACCCGATGTTATTCCCAAGTATGTTACACGACAATAAAAGTGTTTTTAATTTATTGACATGGTATTTTATTTCGAGTCGTCTGCAAACTTCATTTTCAAAATTTTTACAATCATGCAATCGTCATTTCCCTGACATTTTTATACGTATTGTGTTCATTATAGTTTGTTTTGAAACCAAGTGTTTTTGTACTGAAGCTTTTTAGGTACTACGTTTTGTGCCGAAATCATTTTGGTATGATGTTGATTGCAGTCAGTATGTAACATGACTATTTAGTGATACATGTACAAAGCTTCCTATCTTTCTATGAATGGTGTTATTTATTTATTTTTGTTGAGTAGACTGCTTATGTGTTTATACTTACCTTGTTTCAAGAAAAACTAAGTGTTTGTAATGTCTATTAAAATATTTTTTCAATTAGTTCAACATAATAATCCTTAAATTTATCGAAGGTGTAGGTTAGTTTTAAGATATCTTGGTAAAGTCATGTCTACTGAAAACATATATGACTGGGTGAAAGCTGTCATCGGTTGATAGACTGTTCTTAACCTAGGTTATTATCTGGTGGTTAAGATACACAAAGTAGTCATATGAGTATCTTAATGTTGTGTACAGTCTAACAGTATTATTGAAAAACTTCCAATTTTAACTGGTGCATTTTATGCAAAAGCGAAGGAGTACACCGGTCCGTGAGATACGTCTGAGCCCCGCGTTCGAGATCGTGGATGTGCACCACTAAGAAGTTCAATGCTTCGACAAATCGGTCACCCAGCTTTTCTTAGTCTTCGGTGGTGGTCTATTATTAGTGGCTTTACTCACTATCGATCGATTTATAAGTTCGATGAAATTCAACAACATGATGAAAACTGTTGTGTTACTTTTCACCGTCGGTTTCTACAGTTTACGTTACTGGACTGTTAATAATATTACATGACTACGCAATAGCAGGTGGGGCTAAACTTCCTAATGGTGGTCAATTACGTGGTTTGAGATTACCAATTGTCCCATTTATACTCAGGTAGCTATCCGATGGTGCTTTTCAAATTGATCTATCTTAATATAGTAAGTTTCGGCACAGTTCATGATTGCAGTATACAATTACACATGTCTCGTGCGTTCGAAGCAACATTATATGGGAAGATAGACTTCTTCATACAAACACTTTGACCGTTTAAAAATCTTGATCTCAAACATTCAAGCATACCCTAGGTCTAGAAACTTATTTTTGAAATTGCAGTGAGGAATATCTCCAAACATTTTGATGGTGGTTGGTTCAAGCCTGTGCTCTGCAATCAAGAAATTCAGTTGATATCTTGGTTAAAAATGTGTGCTTCAGTTCCATATCTTTGAAAATTTATTCCAAGAGCAATTTCCCAATGATATAAGATTCTCCTTGTATTTCATGGTAGAAGTTTATGGAGATACATTAGTTGTGTCCTGACGAGATGAGTTATGTGCTTTGCACACTTAGGACTCTGGAGGTCATCAGAACTCGTTTTCTGGATATAAGTCTCAATTCAAAATAGTCCGGACTAAACCTCACACGCATATTTTAGAGAATTTTATGAGTAATGAAATGTTTGTTCAAGTAAGATCGATTCAAGTGTCAGGTTTGCGCCATTGTTTGTAGGTTCATCTTTCAAGACGCTGCGTATATTCACAGTTATTTATTGCCCCTACGAGTTGATAAATTCATCCGTAACTAATATTGTGTGTTCTGGATTGACATGACATGAAATGACGCACTACACTAACTACACTGCTCTCGTTCCTAGTAGAAGAAAGACAATTTACATTATTATTATCATTGTTATTACTATTATTTACTACGTCGCTTTTTCACTCCCTTTATTCCCAAATTGTGTACCCTTCCTTTCCAACTTATGCAGTAGCTCGCCCATGGTGGAAAATCTGTCCTATCTAAACGATCTCCAGTCACTGTCTGGTTGAAAGTGAATGCTTCCACCGATTATGAATACTGAAGCAGTTTTTCTGAAACCGCGTACACCGTTCAAGCTGGCTTCCTTCAACATTCGCACACTAATGCAGATCGGACAACAGATGGGGCTGGCTATGTCTTTAGAAAGTCTTAATGTTGATGTTTGCTGTCTATCCGAGACCCGTATTCAAGACTCTAGTGAAGTACTACAAATTCGCTCTCCATCTGTCGCTTCGAAAAGCTTGTTTCACGTGCGCTTGTCCGGGGACTCTGTGGCATCTTCGTCTGGTGTTGCACTAAGCGCTAGGGCGGAGGCGGCACTAATCGATTGGATCCCCATTAACAGTCGGTTATGTGCTGTTAGATTAGATAGTTCCATCAAAGTGAGAAGAAATCGGCGTAAGAAACGGTGTCTTTTCATCATCTCTGCCTATGCCCCGACAGATTGCAGCCCGGTTGCAATCAAGGATGAGTTTTACCATCAGTTAACAGTTCTTCTCCAGAAAGCGCATTCGACAGATATTGTAGTACTAGCCGGAGACTTGAATGCACAGGTCGGGCGTCTAGGCACGGAAGAGAGTCGTTTAGGTGGCCGATGGGGACTTGTTGGTCGCAGGACAGATAAAGGGACCGTTTGCTGCAACTGTGCACAGACCACAACCTGTTTCTGGGCAGCACTACCGGCACAGTCATCGCCGGTGTGCCACCTGGCGTCCTCCCTCTGCATCCCAAGCCTGGACTCAGATTGATCACATCGCGATCAGTTACCGCTGGCGTGGTTGTGTACAAGACTGCCGCTCCTTTTGGGGTACCTATCTGGAGTGTGATCATGCCCTGGTCTGCACCAATCTCATCTTACTTTTCAGTGGCCGAAGGTTTGACCACCACCAACGGATCGATGTTAGTAAACTGGCTGCAACTTCTGTTGCAAGTAAGTATCGAGCGGAGCTAGCCTCTTTGCTTGCTACCACCTAACCGAAAAGTATTGATGGGCATTGATTGCTTCTTCACGACGCCATGAAAATGGCGAGTAAAGCCGCTTGCGGCTTCGCGAAACGTCCCGCTTACAAGCACTGGGTTTCTTCTGGCTCCTTACAGCTGATGGAAGCCCGTCGGTCTACTCCGGGTGACCGTGAGTTTGACCACAAACGAAGGCTGTTACGTAATGAAATCGGGCAAAGCTTGCGTAAGGACCGGGAAGCCTGGTGGTCGGAGCGTGCTAATGAGATGGAAGCAGCAGCTGCATCTGGTAACTGCCGGAAGCTCTTCCAACTCATCCGAGCCACTGGCAGCAAGAAGTCTGGTGTGAGTGAAACAATCTATGAGGATGATGGGATACCAATCACTAACATCTCTCGACGTCTTGGACGATGGGCGGAATTTTTCGAAGGGCAGTTCAACTGGCCTGCTGCTCCGGCAACATCAACCAGTTTGTCCTGCCCCCCATGGCCGGTGACGACTGATCCACGAAACGAGGCGGAAGTCCGCAAGGAACTCCAACTCTTGAAGTGCTACAAATCACCAGGCCCAGATGACTTACCTCCGGCTCTTTTTAATGATGGTGGTGAGTTTCTGCCTAAGGAACTGACTGTGTTGTTTGGAAAGGTTTGGGAGCAAGAAAGTGTTCCAACATCATGGAATGAGTCGATAGTCGTCCCTATCGTTAAAAAGGGTTCACGTTGTTCCTGCAATAACTATCGGGGGATAAGTCTACTTCCGATTGCGTCCAAACTATTGGCTTCTATCATTCTTCGTAGGTTGTGTAAAACCCGAGAACGATTGACTCGCGAGGAGCAGGCTGGTTTTCGTTCTGGTCGAGGATGCATTGATCACATCTTCACCCTCCGCCAAATGTTAGAACACCGTCATACTTATCGCAGGCCAACAATCGTAGTGTTTCTTGATATCAGGGCGGCCTTCGATTCGTTGGACAGGACTGTTCTCTGGGATTGTCTATTGAAGAAGGGTGTGCCTGGGAAGTTCATTGACATCTTAAAGGCCCTGTATACGAACACCTCAGACAGAGTGAGGGCATACAACCACCTTTCTCCCTTGTTCAATTCGAGCAGTGGGGTTAGGCAGGGTTGCCCGATCTCACCATTCCTCTTCAACTTTGCCATCGACGACATCCTGGAAACAGCTCTGATGAATGTAAGTAATGGCGGTGTGGATATGTTGCCTGGAGAACAACTTCTCGGCCTTGAGTATGCGGATGATATTGTCTTACTGTGCGATAATGCTCAAGCCATGCAATCCGCACTTAATCAGTTGGCAATCAGTGTCCGCAGGTACGGCATGTGCTTTGCACCCTCCAAGTGCAAAGTACTCCTACAAGACTGGCGGGATTCTCATCCTGTACTCACCCTGGATGGTGAGCAGATTGAAGTAGTTGAGAAGTTCATGTATCTAGGTAGCTATATAAGTGCTGGTGGTGGCGTGAGTGATGAGATCGATGCACGTATAATGAAAGCCAGAGAGACTTATGCCAATCTGGGCCATCTTTGGCGCCTTCGTGATGTTAGTCTGGCTGTAAAAGGTCGGATCTACAACGCGTCGGTGAGAGCAGTTTTGCTCTATGCTTGTGAAACCTGGCCTCTCCGAGTTGAGGATGTTAGACGTCTCTCTGTGTTCGATCATCGTTGTCTCCGAAGGATTGCTGAAATTCAGTGGCAACACCATGTTAGTAATGCAGAGGTTCGGCATCGTGTGTTCGGGCGCAGAGACGATAATTCAATTGGTGTCACCATCTTGAAACACCGACTTCGGTGGCTTGGACATGTTTTACGAATGTCGTCCCAGAGACTTCCACGTCGTGCATTATTTGCCGACCCTGGGACTGGTTGCAAAAAGCGGAGAGGTGTTCAGTGTATGACATGGTATCGTGGTATGAAATAAAGCTGCAAAGGGCTAGCTCCTGTTGGTCCTTCACGACTCCCTGG